TAGATAGATAGATAGATAGATAGATAGATAGATAGATAGATAGATAGATAGATAGATAGATAGATAGATAGATAGATATGTGACCTTGAATAATTAAAACAATGAAGAAAATAAGTGTTAAAATGTATACTATTTTGTGAAAAGAATGCATCAGTTTTAGTTTAGAAATAGGCGATTATGCATTTAACAAGACCTGTTTGAAAGTCAACTTGTGAAAAAACTTAAATGCTTAGATTTGTGTAGAAAAGCTGCTCTAAAAAAAAGCTTATAATCCCACACCCAAATTATAACGCAGGAGTAAATCTTTCTTTAACTAATGATGATGATCAAAAGAGTTTATTTCATCATTGCTGATTCATGCAGTAATTGTTTATTCTTTAGTGTATGACATTTAGAACTGGAAGTAAAACTAAAAATAGCATTTGAAGGGAAAATAATGCATCACATGACAAAATTGTGCATCAGCAGACTTATCTGGGTTTCTTTATTCAAAGTAAACCGCAGTGTTTATAATGAAAGAAAACCTCCCATATACCATGTTTCTGGAAGCTAAATAAAACAAGTTATAGAGAGATAGTCTTTTTTTCTTTAACTGGACATTATTTCTCAGTCTTTATTCTAATTTTTAAGTATTCTGAAACATTTGGATTATGTCTTGATAATTCCATTCTTCTTTTTCAGCGTCCCTAAACGAACTAGAAGACAATGACTTGGACGCCCTCATGGCCGACCTGGTGGCCGACCTCAATGCAACAGAAGAGAAACTGGCAGCAGAAATACAAGGTCTGGATGTGCCACCATCATCTTCATCAGACCAACCGCCTCCACCTAAAGGGCTTAGCTTCCAGCCTGCCTCCTCCATTACATCATCATCAACTTCTCCTGGAAATAACAACACCAGCAGCAGCGTGACCACCCCATCTTCTTCCAACACCTCGCCTCTGCCGCCTCCTCCTCCTCAGTCAGCAAAGCCCACAATGGTACAGCGCCTCATTTTAAATACAATCAGCAATGACCTTTTTACAGTAGGTTAACAGGAACTGGTCCGGTTTTTTTTTAAAAGAAGTGAGAGTTTAGATGAAGGTAACAAAACATCTGAAAGAGTTTTCTGTTTAGGTATACGGCTGAACAACAGAAACTTAGATGTCGTATTTTGTCCTTTTAACTGAGAAGGTTACAAACATTTATCACCGGCTTGAAAGGCATTTTAATTTGGCACTTTTTATTATCGTTTAAGTCATTCATTTACTGTTTATTTTTTCTATCGGTGATAATTTGGGTCAGTAGAAACATGGACATATAAATGGCCGTTCCAATTAATCAGGGTGGAATTAATCAGGGTCTAATTTTCTTCTTCGTCTTTGGTCCCCATCTCAACCCTGTTAAACTCTGGAAGTATGCTTAAAAGCCAGTTAAGGCTCATATAGCTCAGACAATTAAACTAAACTCTACCAATACAGCAGATTAATAAATAAATACATACATAGATTAAAAATAAATAAATAAATGATGCTCTAACATTAGATCTGTATTAAGTAATTAGCCTGTTTATCGCTACAAAAAGCATCAGGTCAAGGTAATACTTGCTTAGAGATAATTACCCAATCTCTTTTTTTAAGCACCTAATAATACATTTAATTGGATCAGAAAACCCACAATGGTTTTTTTTTTTTTTTTATGTACTTGGATTTTAATGATTCTTTCTATTAAAAAAACTTGAAAAATACTCAGAGAGCGCAGACCTCTGCCAAGCACCACCTTGTTCCCCAAATTGTGCCTACACCTATAGCTGAAACTCACACATAATCTGGATCATTACCAGATTTTAATGAATTATTCCTTGGTATGAGGTGCACCTCTGGTAACAATTTCCTTAAAATCCTTTCATAAGGTTATAAACAAGGCATGCGTTTCTGCAGCCTCTGGTGTTTGTTCTGCTCTCACCTTCTATTCACTCTGCACTCTGATTTCTTGGTTGATCAGCAGATTGAGACTTTAAGCGAGGCATGGCTCACCTTTCCTGTGTTTTTGTTTTTGGGTCCGGTGCTGAAGCTGTCAATTGTCGCTTCTGTTACTCTCTGGTTTAGGGGGGAACAGCCAAATGTTATTTAGTGCACCCTAAATGCACCAGGGAGCATCAATGCAGATCCTTCCTCCCAGCAGCTCTAAGACTCTATAACCGCCACTGTTCCCAACAACCTAAATAAGTTGTTACATTCATGCTGATTTTGCAAAGATTCTACCATAGTTAAATATGCTGCTGTCATGTTCCATATCTCTGATGTTGCTGCTATTTTTCAAATACCCATTACTGTAAAAATGGCTATAGCTGTAGGTTGGTTATTTTATTCTCCAGGTGCACAATTTAATATTGTTTACAGTACAGTGTTTTATTGTTTATCTTTTAACTCTTTACTAGTATGTTATCCTTATACATTTTTCTAAGGACCACATTTATGTGACCATTTTTTCTATCATCTTTTTGCTGCTGTAAACACCAGGATTTCCCCATTGTGGGACATTAAAGGGATTTTATATTCTAAAGAATCCTTTAAAAAAATCACTGCTTCCGGATTGCAACGTGGATCATCACCAAAATGTAACGGATTGTTCATTGGACTGAGGTGCACCTTTGGTAAAACAGTCATTTAAATTCATTCATAACTTTTTAAGTTATCCTGTACACAGACGGACAGGCAGAGAAACAAACACAAAACATAACCAGAGGTAATAAAAAAAAAAAAACATCTAACATATTGAAGATAATTTTGACAAGGCTCTTGGTCTTTTTTTTTCTCTGTAACCTCTAATAAGCAGTTGAGGTTCTCTAACTGTCACACACATTGAGGTCAAAGCTAAGTAGATCCATCTGTTGAAGTTATGGGTGGGGGGGGGCAAACAGATGAGGGCCTGTCTGGAACAGATCAAACACACAACCATGTGAAGACTGTAACAGGATCAGGGGGTCCCGTGGAGGTAAAAAAGTGTCAGTCCTTGAATGGTTGGATATAGGTATGGTAGACGGATGCTTATTGCTTTAACAGAGCTTGTGACCTCATTTTATTGTGGTAAAAAACACCAAGTGTGCTGAGGCAAAGCTTGCATCATTGGTAAGCGAGATGTGTACAGGTTCATTTTAAGCTACAGGCAATCTTTAAATGTTCATTGGTGACATTACTGCTTACCTGAAATAAATAATAGTTCTGTTTGCTTGAAACTAAAAGACTGGAGGGAAATTTTTATTAATTCCATCTATAAAAAAATTCAACTGAAAACAACACTATTTCCTTTTTAAGAGATAGCTAAGGTATGATTAAAATAATGTCTAGCGCTTAACTAATATATGGGTATATAACATATTTAACAATTTACTCCTAAGGAACTAAACCACACTTTTTCTTGATCAGTAGTTTTTTTTTTCTCATTTCAAAGCTTTCTATGCTTTTTCCTTTGGATTATAACACCCTTTTTTTATTATTTCACAACAGGTAATTGTACCTGAGAAAGAGATGTGGAGAAAAGCAATAAAAAAAAATAAAGATGAAGTTTAAAATTAAAGATGTCAGGTCCATATTAACCATATGTATATAGCAAACGAAAAAGGAACAAGCTGTGTCTTGTTTGAAGTAGTTTGAAAATTAGATTTCATGATTGCTGTTTTTAAACAAAACTGGTTCATTGCAATAAAATAAATGGTAGATGCTATTTACTGTATAAATTGTTTTACACCACATTCAGTAATTCCCTCATTCGTGCAAACCTTCACACTGATGGTGGTAAGCTGTGGTGTAGCCAACGCTGCCCTAGGGCTCACTGACAGATGTGAGGCTGCTATGCACAGGCGCCCCTGAGCACAATCTGCAGTGTCTAAATGATGTAGTGAGGCAGTGCTTCCCAACCTTTGACCTGTGTACCCCTTTGAGCATTTTGTCTTACCAGGAGTACCCCCCACTCAGCCAAAAGTATTGATGACCGTCCAAAAGTGGAATGTACAATAACTGATTATAAAATAAAAACACTTTTACTATATCTTTTAACCTGAGCATTTAATTCTTAGGAATGTTATTCTTTCCATCTAAAATACATGAAAAACATATGTACGTGGCCTGGAAGTTAGTAAGGAATTAAAAAAATACAAAATACAAAATCAAATCCTATTATAAACCTGTATTTATAAAACTGGAGCTCCCTCATAATCACTTATAAACTTGATGAATGGGGAAGTTACAGAACAAAATTATAGTCAGACTGACTTAATTAGTTTTACATTGTTTTCATCAACCCCTATTTTCTTATACTACCTGAGAAATACAATATTTTCATGCGCCCCTTGCAATGCCCTGCTGACCACTAGGGGTTTGCGTACCTCTGGTTGGGAATCACTGTAGTAGGGATCAGAAAAACAAAACATTCTTTGAAAATAGCTGAGTACTAGTGAGAAAATGTCTTAGAAAAAGTAACCAATGATACTAAGAATGTCGCTTTTAAAAAAGAAAGTCACATCTTAGATGTGATTATGCTGTTAACCACTGTATGATTAGAGTATAGGACAATTAAAGTGATTCATAATTTAAAAGGCTTTTTTGAAGGTCAGAAAAGGAAGAACTGAAAATGGATGATGTATCCTTCAACATCCAAGTGTTAATTCAAACCAACATCAACTAATTCAGTTCCTTTATTCTGTTTAGGAAGAAATAGAAGCTCAGATGAAGGCGGATAAAATCAAGCTTGCCCTGGAGAAGCTTAAGGAGGCCAAAGTTAAAAAGGTAAGGTTTACAGTTACCTAGATAGAAAATGCTTTATATTCAGACGAGCCGTGAGTTTTGCCATGGTTATCTTCCTCTGTGCTTTTCGAGGTGACATTACTAACATTTACAGATGGTTATTTTTATCTAGCAAACATCCTTCAGGGTGGCAGTTTGTTTTCTGAGTAACACTTACTCATTTTCAAATGTGACACAAAGCAGATAAACATAGGCTGGCATGTAAAGCTTTGCATCAAAATATAGTCAAGTTTGCATCTGGTGGCACAATGTAACTTTGTCAAGCAGGATGCGGAAGACCACATTGCTTAGTGGTAGCTTCTTTGCTGTCTTAAGATAATTTGGAGGTCATCCTTTGACCTTTTTGCTATTTGTCGCCTAGTTCCATGCTGTAGCTGATCAAAAATAACATGACACTTCTGCAAGAACATACAGTTTGTGCCTGAGTTTTGACATGCACAAAAGCAGACATGTTTTAATTAGCTGTAGCAGATGTTTCATTTATTTGGCTCCTTCCCTGTCCTTGGTCTTCGAATTGTGTCCAGTTTAGTCCGGGCTTAAGCTTTGGTGATTCCTGCATGCTGATCAATAATAATAATAATTAAAAAAGTCCTTTTATTTTAGAGTGATTTTTTGAGTCAGATGTTTAAAACTTGGACAAAATGCTTTCCCAGGAATATATAAACAACGTTCTCCAAAAAGAAACCTGGTGAACCAATTTTTGCATAAACATAAGAGTCTGAGTTGTGACATACAAACATCCAGACACATTTTTTTATTGTTTCAGCAGATCTTCCTTTGGTCCGTTTTAATTCCAGATGTATACAGTGGTCTCTGAGGACAATTGAAATGTGCAATGCAAGTAGAGAAAAGCTAGATATCTGATTTTTATTGAAAACCATATGAAGCTCAGCAAACCCAGACCTAGTATGTCTTCTTTAGCCTTGATAAGATCCACAAAAAAACATATGTGCATGATGACAGGAAGTCAGCTGATTTAATGAGAAGTCCTTAGTCTTCCAAAGCTGGACTTGTTTCCATATGACAGGAAGAGTGAATCCACTGGCCTAGATGAAAATAAATCTTAGTCAGCGCTTTGGCTGAGGACCTACCATTACAAACAGACCTTTGAAATGAATTACTGAAGAGATGATGCTCACAGCTATTTCATTAAAGCTAACATTTTGAAGAAAAACAGTCATTTTATGTGCAGTACATGTTATTAAAGAGGCACAGAAGCAAGCTGCATATACTTATAGGCTGGATTTAGTCTTACTCTGGAAGCCTAGTGCTATACACATCATAACTGAGAACTGAGTCCACTCAGACTGTTGGGTCAGAGGAAATCCCTCCCTTATATCTATTGTATTTTGAACTAGATCAATTAAGACACATGATACAAACTTCTTGTATCTGCTTCCCTTTGTTTTTGGTTACATTGCATTAAAAAAAACAAACGGTAAATGTGTATCTGCAGTTTACAAAACACTCAAGTGTTAGTAATGACATAAATATGCAACATGTGTAAAAAAAAAAATACATTTACTCCATGAACTGGGTAGGTTTGTCTAGGCTTGTGATGCTTCATTCATACAGCTGGTTATTTTCTTTGACTTGTCAACATGTCTGGTGCCATGGCGGCTTACATGCAGTGATGTAACGCAAAAACACAGCTGGTTTTTAGCAACCCGTTTACCATTGCTAAATGGACTGTATTTGTATAGCAGTTTAACAAGCCCAAGGAAACCAAAGTGCTTTACACTACATTTGGTCGTTCACCCTTTAACTCACACATTCACACACTGATGGTGAGCTACATCGCAGCCAACGCTGCCCTGGGACTCCCTCACAGAAGAGAGATCGCACGCAGAGGCACCAAAGGGCCCTATGTCCACAATCAGTGGGCGAAGTGGGTGAAGCGTCTTACCTTAAGACACAACAACTGAGAGGGAGATGCTAATTACAGTAAAAATTAGGGCTGAAACAATTAATTGGATTAATCGTGATTAATTGAAATAATCTGCAACTAATTTAGTAACCAATTAATTGTAAACTGGAGTATAGAAACTCTAAAATTTGACTTTTGCTGACAGAGCAGTATTTATATCAAAATTGTAATTGCATTTAAGATTAAAAAAAAAAAAACAAAAAAACTTTTTCTCGTCTGTCAATATGCTCTATCCAGAACTCCTCAAATGGCAATTTTAAAATCTCCTTGTTTAATTTTGTGAAAAAAAATCTTCTTGAAGGAACATTTTGCTATCCGATAATCAATTAATCGAAAAAAGAATCAACAGATTAATCGATTTGCAAGATAATCGTTAGTTGCAGCCTTAGTAAAAATTCTGATATATTTTTTAATAGGTGCAGATATAACCAAAGAAATACCACAGTGTTGCCTGCTTGTAACCTAGCTATAATTTGGCTTTTAATTACTGGAATTTGCTTCTCTTAAAGGGGAACGCCGTTTTTTTTTTTACATTGGGCCCTTGATTTTACGTTATTACATCGTGTTCTACTCACACATATGAGTCTTGTGTCATTTGGAGCTGTTCTGAAGATATTCGGTTAGGTTATATCCAAGAAACGTCTTCCTATAGGCAAACAACTTGACGGCACAAACTAAACTGTTCATAATTTATTCTTTATGGTACGCCAGCATTCATAACGTAGGCGAATCACTGTCCCCCAGACACCCGCGGTTATATTTTTTATATTTATATGTTTTAAAAACATAATAATTTACTAAAGCCTCAGTTTTCCTAGTTTTGTTTTTGCTCAGTATTTTCTCCTTCGTTCTTTTCTACATTTATGTATACATTTCAGAAAGAAGAGTAAATTGACGTTCTTTGGGTTTTCTTCCGACAGTTGGTGGTGAAGGTGCTGATGAACGATGGCAGCTCCAAGACTCTGATGGTTGACGAGAGACAGACAGTCAGGGAGGTTCTGGACAACTTGTTTGAGAAGACGCATTGTGACGGCAATGTAGACTGGAGTCTGTGCGAGACGAACCACGAGCTGCAGCTAGGTGAGTGCATAAATGGCCGCCATCAAGTGACGCTGCCATCATTATCTTCCAAAAGACATGGGGGACAGGGGTGGTCAAAATAACCACCGAAATGGTGCAAAGTAAGAAAGTTTAACTAGTTTGGTTTGATTACAAAAACTATAAGTCCTCTAGAGGCATAGCTGCAATGCAGACACCTTGCAATACATCTTAATCACACCCCAAAGAGTTACGAGAAGTAGAGTGTTGGGTATGTTACATCTAAGTGAGAAAGCCATTAATAGCATTTACTTTTGCATTTTTGTGATTTAAATAATTTCTGTCGTGTGAATTCCTCTAACGTCTATTTAAACTGGGTCAATAATAAACAAGAAAGCTGAAGTTCCTTAAAAGTTATATAAAGAAAAGTCTATTTGTTTTAAACTAACGTCGAAACATAAGAGACAGATATGAAGCTATATAGAGACAGACTACAGATATGTATATATTTTAACAGTATACCTAAGACTACTGTTTTTATTCAATCTTTTTCTTCTATCTAGGTGATCAGTTCTCTCCTATCTTATATTTCCCCATACCCACTTTATGTCATTTCCTGCTTATATTCTAACATAAGTTAGTGCGAACAGGTGCTGCGTCAGACACCATCAGTCATCTCCCTCTGTCATGCGGAAATAAAAGCCTCATGATCGTCTGCCCGAGCTATATTTATTGCAATTTCAGGACCTCGCCAGCATCACATTATCCAGGCCATGTGCTACAATGTTACTTTAACTCCTTCAGGAAATGTTAAATACAGCTATTATCAGTAGTTCCTGAAACCCCCTATGCAATGAAATGTGAGGCAAAGACCTGCAGCACAATGCAGCATTAAATTGTTGGGTTATGTTGGTGTTTGAGAGCACAATGTGTGTGGTTGGAAAGAGAAACGTCATTCAAGTTCATTTTAACTTGCTGAAAGAAGAGACAGCTTTACGTTAAGCTCCATTGGTTTTATCAGTTGTAAAAAAAAAAAAGCATTTTTATCAACTGTTTTATGGGTCAAGACCTGAATTTGCTTCCCTTTTTGCAGTTAATTTATTTGCGAAACGAACGGGAAGCAGTAACCTTTGTGCTACTTTTATTTTCCCAAACATTTAACCCTGCCTTCCTATTTAGTTTAACTCTCTGACACACAGATGACTATTTCCAACATGCTGTCTGTGCAAAAAAAATGACCGTTGCTGCCCTGACACAAAAGCACGTGGAGTGAAATTGTCTTATGTCATGTCAGCCATTCTACACACCATCACAACCTCAAAGAAAAAAGGTCTTTTCACAGAAGGCTCATTTTAAACGTGTCAAAACCTCCTTCTTGACTTTGCTATATTTGATCTGAATGTGAGCAGCTCTGCTTACATTTAAACTTCAACTTCACAGAGCTAAAGCTGAATCAGGCCCAATAAACACCCGTAGAACTCAACAGGAACACATCTTCAAACAAAACTCTGCTGCTCCAAAACTTCAACATGTGCTTACCATGCACACTACTGAAATGGAGTTCAAAGGGATTTGTACTCCTAACAGTTCATTTCCAGCTGCTAATTTGATGATTGTAGAAGCCAAGCTGTAGTCTGGAACCATGGCAGCAGTTTTATATAATTCCCAGTTTTTCCCCAGCTGGTGAGCTATATTTGGACACGGTGGCAAAACTGAGTTCAAATGCCAACCGTGTGACGGAGATCTGAAAGACTAAGTTGGTGGGTGGGCCAAGGGTTTATTTGTTTATTATGAAGACAAGCAACCTCTCATCTTTATCTAGACCCTTTGAAACAGTAGTGGATTTTAAGAATTAGAGAATTTTTAAAACATTTTTGAAGTAGATCTACTGCTAATTATGCATAGGGATAAAAAAAAACAGGTGGTGTCAAATTATCTAACATGACTAGACTATATATCAGCTGCTTGTTGTTTTTTTAATGCAAAAAAATTATCCTGAGTTCAGTTTATCTCTGGAAATAACTCAACTGAAGTGCTCCAAAATGGTGAAATCTTAAGTCCCACTTTAACCAAGAAGACCATACACTGCTTCTACATTCAAAATGGAGGCTACTCTTTATTATGGCCAATCTCATTGGAAGGGTTGTAAAATTGGCCGTATTGGCTGCTGAAATTAACAGCAGCCAATACGGTCAACAAGCAGAAAACTGGAACACATTTACCTCAGTGTCAGGTTGAGTGGAGGTTTGAAGAGGACCCAAATGCAGAGACTGAAGCTGGAGGTGGTTTCTAGCAGATTTAATAACAAAAAGGTGGCAACTGAAGCAAAAACACAGAAATACCAAAACACCAAGGGACATCAGGAAAAACACACACGAGGAACCAGCAAACAGTGATGGAAAAGAAGGTGTAAAAATGGGATACTGAACCAAGACCAGGCTAATCAGTAGACTGGGAGCAGGTGTGGAGAGAGGAATCTAGAAGGGAGCTAGGAGAAGCAGACTGACACAAGAGGGCAAGAGAGGGTAAACAAGAAATATATAAGAACTCAAAAAATATAACCAAAAACAACTAGAATAACACAAAATGGAAATTAAACCAGTACATTAGAAAACACAGAAATACATGAGTCAAAGCATAACTGAAAAACTCAAAAAGGAAACTTAAACAGAACCAAAAAGTGCAGAATCATGATAGAGAGATTATGTAACTCCAACTGGAAAGTTTGAAACTTTTAAACTGAACTATTAGCTTATTAGTATTGCAGGGCTTCTTCTGGCCTCAGAGAACCATTACATCTGTAATTTAAAACTGAATCAAAAATTTATTTCCTTAACCTTCTTGTTCAGTCCTTTTATTTTGTTTTGACTTTTCAGTTAGTTTATCCAATACAGTTTTTATGAAGTATTTTTGTGCACTAGCAATATATCCAATTACAATAATCTAGCGCTTCATAAAGACTATGTCAGTATTAGATAATCTACATGGATCTAAATTAAATAAAAAAAGTACCACCATAAATACAAAACAAATAAAATACATTGAAATGAAAAACAAAACAAAACTCTTTCACAGGACATTTGATAATTAAGTGACTCTTTGGTTTTAAAAGGGTCATAGAATGATTCTATAGGATATTTGGTGCTGGTCCTTAAGGTCTCTGAATAAGGTGTGTAACATTGGTTGGGCTGAAAATGGCATATTTGCTGTTGTATGAGCCCTAATGCAAGCCTGGTTAGAAGGCATAGAATGAAACAAAAATTGTCCGGGATTCTGGTCGATTTTGGCCGTGCAACACATACTCGAAACACACGGAATTCGAACCGAGCCCTCAACTCCGGGGCTGGTCTGTTAACCCCCGCGGACGGGGGCAGGGAGCCAGCGGGGGACGGAGCAACCGAACCCGACTCGGTGACGGTAGCCTGGACACCTGCTGCCCCATGCTTCCCCCCATCCTGCCTTACCGGCCCCCAGCCCCTCCTCCTCCGGCTGAGGACGGGCGGCTCATGGCTCTATGCTGAGGTCCGGTCCACTCAGCGGCCCAGCAGTTGACACTTCATACCCCGAACCCCCCAGTTTTGGGGCATAACAAAAGTACAGGCCAGAACCAAATAAGGCACCATCCCCAAGTTTACGTCAATTTGGTGCTTTGTTTGGATTCACCCGTTTTACGGTGGAAGTTTAGAATTGTGAGATTTGCAGAGCAAGGAGGTGTAGATGGGGTTTGAACCTCTCTGTATGTTCATTTCATCCACTGAACTATTGGTATTCATCTATGACAATGTAAACTCGGTTTTGCATTCTATGACCCCTTTAATACAATACCTGGCTAATATAGTTTCTAGGTTATAGCAAATAAGATGAGTAATGGCTGCTGCTAAAAGTAAGCCTAGCTCACTGTTGAAGTTGAACTTTATCCAAGCAGATCTTAGCTGTATTGGGCTGTGGTTTACTTTTAGCTTGTTTTCATCCTTGCATATATAGCTTTAACTTGGCTGCAGCTTAGCTATAACTTCATTTTGCATAGTTTGGGCCTTAGCTGTAGCTAAGAGCAAAGCAATAGTCTTAGGGGAAAGCATTTGTTTTGTAGGTTTTTAGATTCCTATACAAAATTACAGTTTTACTTCAATAAGTAAGTTCCTCTAAACTCTTCTCCCTTTGTGGTTTTGGTTCTGTTTTTAAACATCTCTATCTCCTGATTTGGGGTGTGGGAGTGTGTGTGTGGGGGGTGCTTTAAATGCATAACTGATGAAGTGCAGTAGGATAGTATAGAAATACACTTTAGTAAATAGTTTTTCTATTTAGTGTCGATGAAGCATTTTGGTTTATCTTAAGACAATTTAATAATAAATAGTTATCCTAATTAAGTTTCACCCACAATTAAGACAAACACTCTCTTATTAGCTTGAAAAAAAAAAAAACGCATCAGTAGCGCTTAAAAAACATCTATGCTGATATTACTTATTCATAGTACTTATTTGAGAAGCTGTTGAACTAATTTTAAGGCAAAGGGATTGTATTTTACGGCAATGAATTAGATTAAATATTACGTGTAACTCAATAATTATAGGACTAAGCTGAGCAAGATCAAATGTGGCTTAATTCTTGTGTCAATTTAAATTTAATTTCCATATGCTAACCCTAGCTCTGTGTACCATAAATAGGGCAATGGCTTATAACACACCTCTTGTTATCTGGTCTTAAAAAGGTTAGAGACAGGCACTCAACTTGACTTAATGCTAATAATTAAACGGATTGTTCATTTGTTTTTCATGTATAATGAGGGGATTCTTAGCTTATCACAGTATATTAATATTAAAGTGTCTAAATAAAAGGGAGAAAATTGTTATCATTTAAAGAATTGCCATTGTTTTTATCTGTTATCAGAGTCATTTCTAAGTTCCTTGTAATGCTATAGAACTTCTATCCATATGCAGATGATATGATCATATTCTTTTGATTCCTAAGTTTGCTTCTCTTCTGACAGAACGGACGTTTGAGGACCATGAGAACCTGGTGGAGCCCCTCCTTGCATGGACAAGGGACAGCGAAAACAAAGTCCTCTTCCAGGAGAGAAAAGATAAATTTGAGGTTTTTAAAAACCCACAGGTTGGTCAAGTTTTTAGTTTTAAAACAGACCAGATCCAGCTATTTGGAGCAAGCAGCATGATATCATATAATTACTGGATATTTGTGTGATAGGTTGCCTCAATTTAGGCAGACATTTTTTTTTTCATAGCTGCAATCTATCAGACACAACAGTTTGCAGCCAATGAGATCTTGGCATGTTTGCTGTTATAATTGGCCACTTAACAATCTCAGAGAGTTTAATGGATTCGGTCTGTTGGCAGAGACAAATAGCCTGGCTGAAATAAGACCGAAGCACTCTATCACTGGCTCCAACAAAAGACAGAACATCTCTGTTCATTTACATGTTTACCTTTTGACAACTATATCCAAAAGCTTTTTCCTTGGAGTCTGCTGCAATGAACGAGTGGATAGTAAAATGTATTTTCTTTTATGGACACAGTCTGAGAGATCTGTATTTTATTAAAAAAAAAATAAATAAGGCACTGATAATGACATGAAAAGTAAAGATACAATTTATGGAGATATTTAGAGTCCAAGATGTTGAGCTATAAGCCAATTCCTAAATGTAATTTAGCATGCTGCCTTGGCAGGGTTAGTTAAACCCCTTACAACTAACACGAAACATTAGCATGTAGAAGGATTACAGGGAATTTGGGGAACTTCCATCAGCGTTTAGGTTTTTCCCTGACATTTCTGCACCGTCTTCTTTGCTCCTGCCATCTTTTCATGGCAATCCTGCTACCTATGCACTATTTGCTTGATGCCTCAGACCAACGCCTAATAAACACACAAATCTTTTATACCATGGCTTATGTCTACTGGTTTGTTGTCCCAAACTGGAATGCTTTAAATTATCAAACAAATGTTGTATTTGGTCGCAAAATCTGACTTTTTATTTGCAAAGAGAAAACAGCTTTCCAGACAAATCTGATTTTGTGTTTTAAAAAAGGCTGCTGTGAAATCCTGAATGAACAGTCTGTTATGTCACAACTAGGCCTGATATTGGCCTGAATTGTAGAACCTAAATTTAAAAAGTCTCAAAAATTAACACATTGTTGGCCAGATGTGAAAAAAGATGAGAAAAAAATGGATAAATTACATAGATCAGTCTGGAAAGTGTCACAAAGCCATTTCTAAAGCATTTGGGCTCCAGTGAGGCACAGGTAGGCCATCATCCACAAACATGGAAAAGGAGAAAGTCCTTCCCAGGAGTCACAGGGGAGTTACCTTAATATTTCTAAGAATGCATCAAATGACTCTTCCAGGAGATTAAAGAGCCCAGATCAACATCTAATACACTATATCTTAACCATGGTCCTTGAGGCCCACAATCCATGTTTTAGATGTGTCTCTGCTCCAGCAAACCTGATCTAATTGAATGCATTACCCCCTCAGCATGTCAAGTGCTGCAAGAGGTTGTTAATCATTCTTTTGGTTAGGTGTGAGGCAGCAGAGAAATCTAGCAGGCTCAAACTAACGGCATTTCAGGGGAAAAACATACCAGCATTAAAGCATGGTGGCAGTAGGGTTATAATCAGGGACTGGTTTTCTTATTTAAGAACTGGATTACTAGACTAATTGATAAACTTCTAATCTAGATAAATATTCTGAAATCTGTTAAATCCTACCTGGACCATTCAATTAGGAATTAAACTCCAACAGTTTGACTATTAGTACTATTAAAGGTATAGTGGAGGATGTTATTTTTCCGGTTGGATCATCAAGATAAGTGGTCCTCATAATTGTTTTGGCTCTTTCTTGTGATATGTTTATATAAAGTGATAAAATTCTGTAAAAATTGCAAATCTTCTTTTGCAAAGTAAGCATGTATGAGCTATAAGTGGAGAAGGCGGGCATGCAATAAGGCAGGACTTTTCAAAAAGTCACGAAAATCCTCCACTATATCTTTACAGGCTGCAGACAAATGTGTTTCTGTGCAGAACTAATTGCTACTTCGCTTCAACAAAGGCATCAAATTATAGTAGCTTGAAGAGGATTTGCAGATTTGTTCGTTTTGTTATTGTATGTACGGTAGTAAAAATCTCTACACAATATCTTATTTTAGAAAAGTAGCAGTCAACAGGCTAAGATAGTCAGCTCTAAAGACTAACCACAAGCTGTGACAATGAAAATAGCAATAATCCAAATCTTTCATCACTTGCAGAACTTTTATCTTTGGAAAAAGGATAAGAAAACACTCAAGGATATGAAAGACAAAGACAAGGAATTGTTGGTACAGGTAAATGAAAAATTTCAAGTGCTTTAGTGAAGCATTGTTTCCTTTCCTGTGTTCTCTTTGTAATCTGTTTTTTTTTTGTGCAGGAGAACTTCTGTGGTTCATCTATCATTGTTCCCGACCTGGAAGGGGTGCTGTTCCTGAAAGAAGATGGGAAGAAGTCTTGGAAGCAGCGGCTCTTTCAGCTACGAGCCTCAGGAATTTATTACGTCCCCAAAGGAAAAACTAAGGTGATTGGATCATGATTCACCTTCACTTGCTGTCATCTATTGTTTTGTTTTTTTTCTGTTGTAGTTTTTTTCCCCCCTCAAATTTAGCCACGTTTTCAGTGGTTCTGAATGGACTTAAGAATATACATGATCAAGCTCTAGCAAGCAGCTTCTTATATGCTACGCTGAATGGAACAGTGGATTCTAGGTTGTCAAAAATGTATTTAAGATTTATTAAGAACATTTAACATAGATATGTTGGACTAAATGTAAAACAAAGAAGTAGCATCCTATTTAGATAGATCTGCACCTACAATAAAAGTTTATATATATATATATATATATAGATATGTTGGACTAAATGTAAAACAAAGAAGTAGCATCCTATTTAGATAGATCTGCACCTACAATAAAAGTTCAAAAGAGTTTAAAAGGTTGGCACTAAGGATTCAGAGCAGGAGCGAAGAGAAGAGAGAAAATATTCAAGTTCTCCCTCTCAGTTATTAGATTATAATTATTATAATTACTTATAATCTATGTATATCGAAAATCTTTCTCCTTTATTTTCTTTTTTCAAATAAATTAATAACTTTCTTCCAAAGAAAGCTCCCAAATCTGGCTATAATGATGAAAACCTAATGGGATCAGATGGAGTTAAAGTTTCACTTTTGGCTAAAATTTCAAATGCTAATTTGACCCCTATTCAGAAAAACATGAAAAGCATGACCATTTCCTTCTAAAACATTGCGTTGGTGGCACCATGGTCTGATGGTCCTTTACTGAAATTAGAATTTTGACAAAGTTTAAAAGACTCGAGACTGCTCCAAAACCTTTAGGGTTCTAGGTCGAATTCTTTAAAAAAAAAACATAGAAAAGACTCAAAGACTCTATGAGAGTAAATTTTAAATTCTATAATGGCCTAGTCAAAACCCCTAATTGGATACGACAGAAAATCTATGGGATTGCTTAAAGAGCGTTATGGACAAGAGGTCTAAATCTGAAAGAACTTGCAAGACAGATTTAAAAGTGATGGGCATGTAAAAATGTTAGATGCTGATTTCCTACCAACAGAGAGTGAATGCTGACACTGAATTAAAATTACAAGAATTTTGCAAAATACACATCATATTTTATGTGTAAAAAGAATCAGATTAAATGCTCCTAATCTCCTAGCAGTTTACCACAAGTCTGAACACATCCCTTGGTATTACAGTACTTTTGGAGGAGTTAAAATGGCATTCAGTTAAATATAAAATCTGCTGAAAATGAGGACGTCTAATTTCCCTTAAAGCCTTGCTTTGTCTTTTTTTAGTCATCCCGGGATCTCGTCTGCTATGTCCAGTTTGACAACGTAAATGTTTACTACGGAAAAGACGTCAAAAACAGATACAAGGCCCCGACCGACTTTTGCTTCGTTCTAAAGGTAAGTTAATTTTGAACGAGCAAGACGCTGTTTCATTATTTGGAGGTTTTTGATGAAAGGATGATTTTTATAGGTCAGGCTGTGCAGCTGTTAGCTTATGGAGAAACACAGATGTTGAAGATATTTGAATTTGAAGAAGTGAAAGGAGACATTTTCATCGAGTTTAGCTGAAATCTTTTGTAAAATAGTTCCTTATTTATTTGCCTGTTATTATTTTTATCAATACCCAAATGCTTCTAAACAGCTTATAGAAAAAATAGCATCAGTGAATATGGACTCAGGATAGACAGAAACATGCTGACATGCATTGAAGGAGGAGTTAGAGGAATTTTTGGTAACAGCTAAAGGGATGTGAAAGTCAGCTTTCTTTCTTTTCCCCTATCTAATCTGGGAACCACCAGACCATTGCAGATCAGTGATGTCCAAACTTTTACCACATGGGCAAAAAACGTCAAGTTGAAAGTATACAAGAGCAACAAAAGTTAGATTTTCTTTAAACAGTTAAAGTTTATATCAAAAGGTTTAAGTAAAATCAGGATCTGGTCTCTAATTCCCATAAAAAGCTTCCTCTAGCCAAGCTAATGAAATCTGTCCAGCAAAGTCGGCTTTTGACTAACTCACCAATAACACTGGAAAATAAGAAACATGGCTAGTAAAAAGACAAATACCTTGATTTCTATTGGGATTTCCTAATCTGATATCAGAAATCAGTCAGATATGATCCAAAAACCGATATAAGTAAGCTGATAGGAACTCTCCATTTCTATCTGTTTCTGTGTATGTAACCAGCTGGTTAATAATACATGAGTTAGTTGTTCTCTGACCTTTTGTAGTTGATTATTGTTCTCCATTTAAAAAATATCCCTCGTTCAAGCCTTGCAGAAATGCAGAATAAAAGTATGTTTGATAGGTTGCATCAGAAATATAAGTTTTATCTAGACATCCTAGTGTTTTAATCAAAAGGTTCCTCTTTGTAGGGAACTCCTTGAAATACTTTGACAATCCAAATTTCAAGCCAATGGTGTTATTGAAATCCAGGACAAGACCTTATTACCTTTGTAACATTCAAAAAATATGGATATTTTGCTGTTAAAAATTTATGTCAATGTAATAACAAGAAACACCAATTTCCCTGAATTTATATTAAGAAAAATAACAGTAAAAATAATAATAATAACAATAATAAAGTGCTTCTATAAGAAATTCATGAAAAACATTCTGAGAGTGAAAGAAACAATTTTTTTTTTTTTGGTACAACGTAACCTTAGAGGCATTATGCTGATACTGGCAGTTACATTTTTTAGTTTATAAACCTAAATATAATTGTTAACTTGGCTTATTAATTTTTTAACTTTACTTTTTAACTTTTCAATTAGCTTTTTACCTTTTCTTCTCGACTTTTTTGACTTGAATTTACAGTAGGTTATATATCATTCAAGGGTTCATCTTATTGATCAAATGCCAAAATAGCATGTACAGCCATGTAGCAGCATCTTTACAGAATGTCTGGATATAGATCTTGTGCTTCTAGACCTCACTGAGGGATGGTCGGGAATCCATTTGTAAGGGGTATGCAGGTGATCGAAAACGGTAACTTGCCCTATAAAGGGTTAAAGATTTAGATTTTTCTACATCTTTTTTCAAAGGCCTCTCATCAGGGAACATATGTGTCTTACTTGTGTGCTTTGAATGTGAATCTCTATTTCCATCTTTCCTGATGGAGAAATCTTGTTTCATTCTTGAATTGTTTTCTCAAGCTGCACAGCATCATTCAGATGGACCGCCCTCAATTGATCACTGCACTTCCAATGAGATGTGAACATTTAATCTGTGTTGAGTCAAGGGCATTAGTGGAAAAACAGAAATTCCTGTTCTGAGCTAGTAGAAAACATAGAGAATGTTCAGGCCAAATTATCCAAGTATATCAAATTGGTTTTGAGAAGACAACTTGAAAGTTGTATAGGCCTTTTTAATTTACAAAAAAGAAGCCCAGCTATATTTTATAAGCTTGCTAATGCTAATGTATCCCACAATAAAGCACATATCTAGCTAGTGGGAGGCATTTATTTTAGGCCTGCAGCAAACACATGGTTGCTGAGTTAAATCGAGAATGGAACGCGTTTACATCATAAGCAAACCACTCAAGAGTTTATTTGGAACCATATAAAGATCTAGTTTGACTGTTATCTTCACATATAAACGAACAAGCCACACCAAAGGAGGTAACTAACTAGAGTTTGTTTCAAACCGACGTCAAAACCTCAGGTGTGAAAACACTCTACGATTGAGCATTTCAGCAAAAAAACATTCAAAAAGAGTAAATAAGAGGAAAAGCAAGTAGTATGGAGGGAATCTATGATGCTGTGGGCCTGTCTCTCTTTTAAAATCTCTGGAGAAAAAATATTTCTTAACTTTTTGATCACTGAAAGTGTAATTTAAAAAAAAATGTTGGATTTATCTTGATCCTTTAATGTTTATTGTGCTGCTGCAACCAGTAGTAACAATACTTGTTGGGTTATCTATGAGTTATCATAGTTTAAATTTAAATATCTTACAAGTTTAAGATCAGTTCAGATTCAAGATTAAGGGGAAAGGATGCATCATCGCCAACAGCTCAGATGAAATGAATACGTAACTAGTGGAGCTAACTTTAGCTGACCGTGTAGTGAATGAGGGTGTGTTCAGATAAATCGCAAAAACCCGCAACGCCTAGAAAAACATCAGCAGAACAGTCAAGCTTCATCACAGCTGGTGTGTATAGAGGCTGCTAAAAGGGGGTTATAGAACCACCCCCTTGATGAACCATTACAGGGAAATTTGACTTCCTCTTCTGGGGAAAAACAGACTGCATGGTTATTGTCAACCTGAAGGGGTCCCCCAGCACAGATGCAAACAGACCATGACTCCTGGTTTTGTTCTCATGTTTGAACAGGGCTGCTTATACTCGCCTGATCCTCTGTGTTAAATGTGTGCCAGACTCAGGGAAAGAAGATCAGTTCAAAATCACTTCGAGGTCCGTGCATCTAGCCCCATATTGCCCTCATGTGGTCCCCCACTCAGAAACCTTCATGCATTTTGAAATTTCTTTCAACACAAGGACACAAGGGTTTCCGTTTGTTGAGTGTGAGCTAATCAAAAGGAGGTGGTCAGAGGGAGAGGAGTGCTTCCGGTGGAGTCTCAATGTAAAATGCACTATTTCAGACTGAAGAAAATTTTTTTTATGAAATAATGCAGAAATAATGCAGAAATTCTGAAGTTCAGTAAACCAGCATCTCTAAACAGAGCTGGTATATAGCAGGTTCTAAAGCATGTATTTACCTTTTACATCAACCTCTTCAGTGTTTACCAAAGGGAAATAAGTCATCATTTAAAAGGTATGTGGAAAAAAAATTGAGTCCAACCTTTTTTTTTTCCCCGTACAACCTACTTTAGTAGTTACCTGAAGCTCTTCTTAAACATTGCTGCAGATTGTTGGTTTATTGACTTTTCTTTCTGTACTTCTCTGTTTTGAGTCCCAACACAGCATCTAAATCCAGACTTTGACTAGGCCACTGCAGCGTGTTTAATCTTTTCTTCAGGCATTCTGTTTTTGACCTCCTGCTGTGTTTGGGGCCATTCTCTCATTGATGATGTTTGCATCAATCTTTTAGCCATTGAACACTTTAATTCTAGAAAGTTTTGGTATGCAGAATAGTCTATGGTCGACTCAACAACTATAATGTGGATTTGTCTGTGCAGCATCCTCAGATCCAGAAAGAGTCTCAGTACATCAAATATCTCTGCTGTGATGACGCTTGGACCATGAACCTGTGGGTGACCGGGATTAGGATCGCTAAGGTAATATTTGAAGAACACATATATTAATTAGGGGTGGGTATTGGNATGAACCTGTGGGTGACCGGGATTAGGATCGCTAAGGTAATATTTGAAGAACACATATATTAATTAGGGGTGGGTATTGGCAAAGAAGTCATGATTCAATTCGAATCACGATTCACATGCCACGATGCGATTCTATCACGATGCATCACGATACTTCAAATATTGCGATGCATTGCGCTATTTTCACTGAACACTGTAAGAAAAAGATACAGCCATTACCAGTGGCTGACTGGCTGGGTATGATCTGGATCGTGTCTTTAATTAATACATAACTGAAAGCAACTGAATTCATACATAGCTTTATTAGTATTTATTGAAACGACTTTTGGAGGTGTTGCCATGAAAACAAATACTGGACAGAAATATTACTATTACTGGTGAGGACACACTGATAAAAAGATCTTAGGATTCATCAAACTTAAAATAACAAAATAAGGATAATCAGTGCCGTTTACATGGCCTCAGTGGTCCTTTAAACCAATGAAACAAAAACATTCAAATGTATATTTCCTCTTTTGCAAATGACGTGCGTCATATCAATTTCATTTTTACCTTCTTTGTTTTTAAAACCAAAATGCATCCAAGCATCTGACTTGAAATGTGATGGAGCCGGGCAAATTTTCTCAGGCACCTCCATGTTTTGTTCATGAATGACTCGTCTCAGTATCCCGCAGCCGGAAATGCTTGTGACACAAAGCAGCGGGCGTCAACACATCCGCAGCGACATCTGCTGGATTTGGAAGTTGTATTCCACTTGGTTGGGCTGATGTGCGCCAACCATTCATGTATTTTATTTGTTCATTTTTTAAAATTAAGAATCGATTCTTGCCTTCAAGAATCGATGCAGTAGATCACAAGAATTAGAATCGCGATGCATCGTCATGGCGATTATTTTGCACACCTCTAATATTAATTTAAGATTCAGATGTTTTACCACAATGATTCGTCCCTTTTTTTCAGTACGGTGCATCCCTGTACGAGAACTTCAAAACAGCAGAGAGGAAGGCTGCTGTTAGCTCTGCTATATGGACAAACCGCAGC